ATCTATCTATCTATCTATCTATCTATCTATCTATCTATCTATCTAAAGGTGGTGAACACACCTAATACTCCTTCCTCCTCCTCTTTTCCCCACAACAACAACCCTGTGAGGTGGGTTGGGCTGAGAGAGGGTGACAGGCCCAAACTCACCCAGCTGGCTTTCATACCTAAGGGAGGTGTACAACTCTGTCTCCTAGTTTCTAGGCCAGCACCTTCACCACTGTACCAGACTGGCTCTTAGTTTAGGGTTTAAATTAGGGTTTTTAATCTCAGGTTAGATTAGTTTAGATCAGGGACATGTTGCTTCCCTACCCCTGTCCTGCCCTTGTGCCCTTCATTGAGCCCCATCTTTCCTTTTGGGAGAGTCAGTTTTGGTCAGTGCAAAACTTACTTCTTGGGGAGAAAAAGAGAATCATTCTAGCCTTCCTCCCTCTTTGTTTGAAACCTAAAGCTGCTAATGTCCCCTTCCGCTTCTTTCCCGCCCACAGTCCGCTCTTCGGACAAGAGAATCGCCTGCGAGGAGGAATTCTCGGACTCTGAGGATGAAGGGGAAGGGGGTCGCAAAAACGTCGCCAATTTCAAGAAGGCTAAACGGACAAAAACAGAAGAAGAGGAGAAGGAAGAGGAGAAGAAAGGTCAGCAGGTCTTTACTGGCAGGGCGGTCCTTTTGTCCCGCTCGATCGGTAGGATGTGCGGATTAGGAAAAAAATCAGAAGTCAGTGGGGGGAGCCGGCTTTGACAGGAATGCCTCTAAAACCCCATTCAGGGAGAGCCAGTGCTTGGGACTTTGCATCTCAGTGCTATGCCCCAAAATGAGCTCTGACCCCCTGGACTAAAGCTGTGGTTGCACTGACTGACTATGTGCAGATTGATTGTTTTTAAGTGGTCACGGGCTGTTGCCCCTACAGTTGGGCTTGGCTTGTATCCTGTTAGGAGTATGTTCCCAGATTAAAGAAGGGGCAAGACGGGCCCCACATCCCTGTCTTGAGGCCTTTCCCTCCCTGTACTTTGGAACCCGGCCTTAACAATGGTGTTAAGGCTCCCGCTTCAGCAAGATCATTTTCCTCCCCCCCCGGTTTGTCAAGTGGCCCCTCCACCCCTGTTGTGTTCCAGAGCAGGTGGTTTCTGGTAGGCGTGTCCCCAGGGAGGGGTCAGAAAAGTCAAGATGGCAGCCACAATCATGCCATCAAAGCCCCGCCCTTTTTAATGTGTGATGCAAAACTTTGATCGGGTGGCGGTGGTGGTCATCTTGACTTTTTTGACCCCTCCCTGGTTTCTGGAGTCTCTTAAACACTGAGGACCCAGGCCATTCCGGATTGCCATCTGGGCCAGCATCCTGAAGCACATCTGGAACAGTTCGTGGATCAGGGCAAACTCCCATAAAATCGGGGTGTGTGACCTCTGGGATCCCACGGGTTGATGTATGCCAACTTTTGGTGCAGGACGGCTCCAGTTTTCATCAGACCAAAGGGGCAGGTGTAGGGCTGCGTATCCTTCCCATTTAAAGTGAAAAAAATAATACATTTACAAGAAGGCTTGAAAGTACAGTGGTACCTCGGTTCACGAACGCTTCTGTTCACGACCAGTTCGGGTCACGAACCGCTCCGTTCGCAAAATTTTGCCCCTGTTCGCGAACGCCGGATCGGGTGACGAACAGGATCCACAGTCATTTTCCCTCCCGTGACACGTGGTTGTGGCTTCCTTTAGGGAGGGGGGCTCTCCCTCCAAGCAATAACCACCTCCCCACCCGCCTTCCTGTCCTCCACGCCAGAAGTCGCGTCGAGCAA